CAGGCTGGTTTCGAACTCCTGAGCTCAAACAATCCGCCCGCCTCGGCCTCCCAGAGAGCTAGGATTACAGGCGTGAGCCACCGCGCCCGGCCCTACTTGGGCTTTTTAATGCACATGTGTGGATTTGGTAGAACATGTCATATACTTGTTAGGCATGCCAGCACCAGCCCTGTCTTTCTCCCCACAGTTCCCATTCTTTGGCTTACCATCTATTAAGTTATCAGCTATCTATTGCTGTATAACAAACTACCAGAAACCTAGCAGCTTAAAACAACAGACGTTCATTATCTCATAATTCCCTTGGGTCAGGAGCCTGGGCACAGCTCAGCTGGATCCTCTGCTCAGGGTCTCACAAGGCTGCAGTCAAGGTGTCAGCCAGGCCGTGTTGCTATCCAGAGCTCGGGGACCCCTTCCAGTCTCGAATTGTTGTTGGAAGAATTCAATTCCTTGCAGTTAAAGGACTGAGGTCCCTGTTTTCTTCCTGGCTGTCAAACAGGGGCTACTCTCAGCTCTAGAGGCTGCCTGTAGTTCTCTGCCACCAGCCCTTGCATGTGGCAGCTGGCTTCAAAGGCAGCTGGTAACACTCTCTAGTCTGCTCAGATGGAGTCTTAGGTAACATAGCGTAACCATGGGAAAGCCTGTACCATCACCTTTGTCACACTGCAAGTCACACGTTCTGCCTGAACTCAAGGAAAAAGAATTATACAAAGACATGAGTCATTGGGGGTTACCTCAGGGTGTGACCACCAAGGAAGTTAATTCATCCCTCAGAGCTTAGGCATTTGTTTTCTTTTCTTGATAAACCATAGAAACATTCTCTGAAATTACTTTGTGCACATTAAAAGGTGCTTTATACTATATCTAAAGTAAGATGTTTTATAAGCAGAAAACTGGTGAAAAACATTCCTAGATTCTGCTCTAGGAAGGCAGAACAGCCAACTTCATTCTATTCTCTGTTATTGTTAAAATTAAATTTTCAAAAGATAAGCTATAACCAGAGTCCATTTTAATTAATGATAACGCTGCTTCTGTGGAAGGAAAATGTTTAGTATTTTAGGCTGAATATCCCGTGTGATCAACTACTGTATACCTTACAAGAAAGACTAATGTTTGGGTTTAGAGTTACAGAAGGTCAAATCTCATCCCCCATAAACATTTTCAAATTTGGGGTTCAGAGACATGAATCTTAGTTCTGCACCTCAGCTCTAGCCTTTTGAAAGGCATCCCACAGAAGTGCATGGTGAACTTGGAAGGCACTTAGGAAAGAAAGACACTCGCTTGTAGATTAATAGTGTAGGACCACGGTCTCAAAACCCCAGGCCTACAGACCAGGTAGTGGCCTGTTGGGAACCAGGCCACACAGCAGGAGTCGAGGAGCGGGTGAGGGAGCAAAGCGAGCGAGGTGGTTGGGAATATGGGCCTTTGATTTGTTGATTTGTATATAAAGGCCATGTTCATAGGCAAGTTTACTATCCCTAGGAATTAGCTAGCCCTGGGCAGGGCAGTCTCTCCAAGCCCCAGAGTGTAAAAGCAAAGTAAACATGATTAATACACTGCCTTTCTTTTGGCACCTGCTGCAGTTGTTTGCTCTCCTCGATGATAAAACATCAAAGAGTTGTGGTTACTGCTTCTGCTTCCTCTCCACCTCTACCTTCTCTCCCAACCCTCTCTGAGTCACCCGTGACGTCCATATTGCTAAATCCTAATTCTCTCCTGGGTTATTATCCTGCTTGATCTGTCAGAAGCTTTTCTCACAGATGACTTTTCTCTTCTTGAAACTGTTTCTTGGTTCCTCCTCATTGGCAGTTTGGTGTCAGTCCTTTGCAGGCTCTTCCTCCTCTTCCACTTGAGCTCTGACAAGTCCATGTTCCTGAGCCTCGCTCTGTCTACAGCCTCCTGTGGTGATTTCCTCTAGTCTCAGGGCTTTAAGTGCCATCTCTACACCAGCGACTCCCCATCCATATCTTGTATATCATCTCCTACCTCGAGTCTGGATCTGTGTACCCAGCTGCCTATCTGATGCCTCCTCTTGGGTAGCTCAAAATACCTCAAGTGTAACCTCATCAAAACACAACTTTCCTTTCCAAACCCTCCTCCCCAAACTCGTTCCCCTACAGTTCTCCTATCATAATGAATGATGCCACCACTCATCCAGTTGCTAAGACCTAACACCAGTAGTCATCCTTGAATCTTCTCTTTCCCTATAACTCCACACCAGTTTATCAGGAGGTCCTATTGGTTCCTTGTTCAAAATCAAAGATCTGTCTATTTTTCATCTTCAAAAGCAAAGGTCTGTCTACTTTTCATGTCTTTTGCTGTAACTCTAAGCCAGTGGCATTTCTGGCCTGTTTGGAATACAGTCGCCTCCAGGCTGGTATTCTTGGTTCTACTCTTGCCTTCCTGCAGTCCAGTCTCCACAGAGCAGCCACAGTGGTTTTTCACTTAAGGATAGGCAAATAGATCAATGGAATAGAATTGAAATTACAGAAATAAACCCATATATTTACATCTGATTGATTTTTGGTAAGGGTGTGAAGATCTTCAATATGGGAAATAATAGTCTCTTCAACAAACGGTGCTGGGACAAGTGGATATTCTCATGCAAAAGAATGAACACCTTACACCACATACCCCTTATACCATATGCAAAAATTAACTCAAACACAGTTCATGAATCTTTATGACCTTGAATTGGGCAATGATTTCTTAGATATGACATCCTTAAAGCATAAGCAATGAAAGAAAAAAATAGATAAATTGGATTTCATCAAAACGAAACACTTGGCCGGGCGTGGTGGCTCACGCCTGTAATCCTAGCACTCTGGGAGGCCGAGGCGGGCAGATCGTTTGAGCTCAGGAGTTCGAGACCAGCCTAAGCAAGAGCGAGACCCTGTCTCTACCAAAAATAGAAAGAAATTAATTGGACAGCTAAAAATATATAGGAAAAAAATTAGCCGGGCATGGTGGCACATGCCTGTAGTCCCAGCTACTTGGGAGGCTGAGGAAGTAGGATTGCTTGAGCCCAGGAGTCTGAGGTTGCTGTGAGCTAGGCTGACGCCACAGCACACAGTCTAGCCCGGGCAACAAAGTGAGACTCTGTCTCAAAAAAAAAAAAAAAAAAATCAACCCTAAAAAAAATGCAATTTGTGTCATATGACAACCATTCTGCAAAATCTTCCATTGCTTCCTACATTAATTTTCTGTTGTCACTGCAAAAAATTACCAGACTTAATGGCTTAAAAAACACAAATTTATTATTTTATGTTTCTTTAGGTCAGAAATCCAATATTAGGCCAGGCGCGGTGGGTCATGCCTATAATCCTAGCACTGTGGAAGGCCAAGGTTGGAGGATCACTTGAAGTCAGTAGTTCAAAACCAGCCTGAGCAAGAGCAAGACCCCATCTCTACTAAAAATAAATTAGCTGGGCATGGTGGTGCACGCCTGTAGTCTCAGCTATTCGGGAGGCTGAGGCAGGAGGATCTCTTGAGCCCCAGGAGTTTGAGGTTGCAGTGAGCTATGATGACGCCACTGCACTCTAGCCGGGGTGACAGAGTGAGACCCTGTCTCAAAAAAAAATAAAATCCAATATGGGCTCACTGGGCTGAAATCAAGGTGTTGGCAGGGTTGCTTGCCTTCTGGAGGCTCTGGGGAGAGTCTGTTTCCTGGCCTTTTCCAGCTTGTTGAGGCCTCCTACATTCCTTGCTCATGGTCCCTTCCTTCATGATCAAAGATGACAACATAGCATCTTGCTGACCCTTATATCATCACAGCTCTTTCTCTGCCCACAGCTGGAAAAGGTTCTCCACTTTTAAGGGCTCATGTGATTACTTTGGGCCCACCCAGATAATCCAGGTTAATATCCCCATCTCAAGGTCCTTAACCTTCATTACATCTGCAGAGTTCTTTTTCCATTTGCAAGGTAACATGTAGGCTTCTGAGGATTAGCACATGGAGGCCGTTATCCTGCTGACCACAGTTCACATCCCAGGCGGGCAAGAGCCGGAGTTGTCCCTGACTTACAAGGCTCCCAGAGTCAAGCTCCACTTGCCTAACTTCTCATCGCTCTCTTTCCCCCTCGCGCCTTGCCCTGAGCACCCTGGTTTCAAACAGCCAAGTGTGTTTTCACAGGGCCTTTGCACTTGCTGTTTTATCTGTCTAAATTACTCCTCTCTTCAGCCCTTTTCTAGGTTGACTTGTCAGTCTAGTCTCAGCTTTGATGCCTCCTCAAAGACATGCAAACTCCAATAAACCTTCTAGCCATCACTATCACGTGACCCAGTTGCCATAAAGCACCTGCCATGGCTGATGGGTCTCTCGTTTGTGTGTGTGTTTTGTGCCTCCTACTCCCTCCATCTTAACTGCCACACAGGTAGAAACCTCAACTGTCTTTGTCTGACACTAGAGTGGTGTGTGGCAACATAGCAGGTGCTCAATAAACACCCGCTAAGTTAACATTGTGTGACCCTCAGAGAGGAAGGCTGGTGTTTCTGCTTACCCACCAGAATATGCCACTACAGGACAGTAGTGTGAACACAGCTTTCAAATCATTGGACCCTGAAATTTCGTAGTTCTTGAGTTATTTGCAGTGTTTTAACTTACATTGTTTGCATTGTTTATGCTTCTACGTATAATGGGAAATGTTTTGAATATTTATATATTGCTTGATTTTAATTTTGCACAAATCAAATTTAGATTAAATGCAGTTGTACTGCATCTTCGTAAGAGGGATTATCAACTGTCAGGACTGGCAGACTTGGTTCAGTTCGATTTCTCAATATGGAGGATCTTTACCCTGGGGACAAGATTACTCTTCCCCTTTTCTCACGTGCTCCTCTGTCTCCTCTCTTTCAGAAAGCATGCTCTGAATTGCCATCGAATGAAGCCTGCTCTCTTCAGTGTGCTCTGTGAGATTAAGGAAAAGACAGGTAGGCTGTTGAGAAGACACTTCCTGTGTGGGTCCAGGGCTGCCACGACCTCGTGCACCTCTGGTCTTGTGGCTCGGCCCCGAAGTGCGCTGCAGCGGTGTCGCTCACCACGTCTCTCTTGTGCGTCAGGTGGTCGGGATGTTTTGTTTCTGCTTTACCACTGCCCTGGTTTCTGGTGTATCACACTGCTTTATTTTGTAGTTTATAACGGGAAAAATACTGTTGCAAATAAGTAACAAGCGGCTGCATTCTAGGTACAAGACCTAAAACGTGCTGTGACATTAAGTTGTGTAGAAAAAGGAAAGATGACAAAATTCAAAAAGTTGAATAATAATAATTTTGTGTGTTTAAACATCCAAAATTTAAATAGTACATGTATTTTTTTAAGTCTGGGCTTTAAAGAAAAAAAAAGTCAAAATAGTACAGAGAGTTCTTGTATACCCTCCTCTTGGCTTCCTCTCTCGTTGACACCTTCAGAGCCGCAGCGCAACACTGCAATCAGGAAATCGCCTTGGTAGAGTGCTCTGTGGCGGAACTGCAGACCGTGCTGGCGGTTCCCCAGTTCTTGCCCCGATGCCCTTTTCCGGCCCAGGATCCCATCCCAAATCCCATGTTGTATTTAGTCATTGTGTCTCTTTAGTCTCCTCTGATCTGTGACGATTCCTCAGTCTTTCCTTGTCATCCATGACTTTGAACCTTAATGAGAACTGCTCAGTCATTTTGTAGAACATCCCTCGATGCAGTTTGTCTGTTGTCTCCTCATGATGAGAATGAGGTTGTGCATTTCAGACAGGAGTCCCACAAGGCAATGTGTGTCCTTCTCAGCACATTGTGTGGCGGGTACGTGCTGTCAGTATGTCCTATCACTGGTGGTGTTGACCGTGATCACTTGTTCAAAGTTAATATTAGGTTATTAAGTATGGAATGTCTGATTTCCTTAAGTCTAAGTTTGACAATTGATATCTCTGATATTTCACTTTGACAGTTGTTGTTTTGTTTTTATTATAAAGGTACATCCTCAGTCTTTCAAATGTACATTTTGGCTTATGATTATCTTTCAAATTTTTTTTTAGAGTAATTTTTGTGAAACCGTGGGTAAGTCAAAAATTCGTGTTATTTTTCAATATGAGTTTTGTTGTGGAACCAGTGCAGTGCAGACAGCTCAAAATATCAATGAAATGTTTGGGAAGGATGTGGCTAATGAATGCATAGTGTGTCGATGGTTTGAGAAGTTCTGTTCCGGTGATTTTAATCTTGAAAATGAGCCATGTGGGTGACCTGAGACCAGGGTGGATAATGACGAGCTGAAAGCTGTAGTGGAAGCAAATCCATCTCAACCTATGTGTGAATTAGCAAGGTTTGATGTTACTATTCCAACAATATCGGACCATTTGAAACAAATGGGCAAGGTAAAGAAGCTGAGTAGATGGGTTCCGCATGAATTAAATGAACATCAGAAGAGAAATTGTCTCTAAGGTTGCCTTTCTCTGCTGTCACAACATGAAAGTGAACCATTTCTACACCATATTGTTACATGCGATGAAAAATGGATTCTGTTTGACAGTCACAAGCATTTGGCCCAATGGTTGGATAAAGATGAAGTGCCAAAACACAGTCCAAAACCAAATATTCATCAAAAAAATGCTAATAGGCTGGGCGCGGTGGCTCACGCCTGTAATCCTAGCACTCTGGGAGGCCGAGGCAGGCGGATTGTTTGAGCTCAGGAGTTCGAGACCAGCCTGAGCAAGAGCGAGACCTCGTCTCTACCAAAAATAGAAAGAAATTAATTGGACAGCTAAAAATATATAGAAAAAAATTAGCCAGGCATGGTGGTGCATGCCTGTAGTCCCAGCTACTCAGGAGGCTGAGGCAGGAGGATTGCTTGAGCCCAGGAGTTTGCCACGGCACTCACTGTAGCCCGGGCAACAAAGCGAGACTCTGTCTCAAAAAAAAAAAAAAAAAAAAAATGCTAATGATGTTTGGTGGTCTGTTTGATGGTCCAGCACTGCTATTATCCACTACAGCTTCACGAAACCTGGTCAAGGGATTACAGAGCATGTCTACTGCAACCAGCTGGACGAAATGATGAGGATGCTTGTGATTAAGCAGCCGAGATTCGTCAATAGAGTCAGGTCAATCCTCTTGCAAAACCACACATTGCAAAAAACCCTGCTCAAACTGCAGAGGCTGGACTTGGAAACTCTGTCATCCACTGTATTCACCAGACCTTGCACCAACTGACTACTACTTCTTCCAGGCTCTGGACCACTTCTTGCAAGGAAAAATATTCAATTCTCAACAAGCTGTGTGTGGAAAACGCGTTTTACGATTTCATCACCACTTGCTCTCCAGGCTTCTTCGCTGCTGGCATAAGCAAGCTACCATTAAGATGGCAAAACTGTGTGGATAGTTCAGGTGCATACTTTGATTAACTGTACTGCTTCTTGTTTGAGATATAATCAACTAAACTTTTGATTTGAAGTCGGACATTTCATATTTAATGACCTAATAACAATTTGAAGATAGTTTATAAGAGAGGCCACCAGATAAGATGAAGATATCATTAAAACCAAAGATCATTGGCAGGAAGGTTGTCACTTGGTTTCTTAAAGTGAGTTGGTCTCTTATTTTACAATTTTTAATATTTTTTTATTTTTTTAGAGACAGGTTCTCACTTTGTTGTCCAGGCAGGAATGTAGTGATACAATCATAATTCATTGTGGCCTCCAACTCCTGGACTCAAGCGATCCTCCCACCTCAGCCTCCTGAGTGGCAGCAGGGATCACAGGAGCACACCACCATGCCCAGCTAATTTTTTTTTTTAAATAGAGATGGGGTCTCACTATGTTGCCCACACTGCATTTTAACCTTTTTTTTTTTTATTTCAGCATATTATGGGGGTACAGATGTTTAGGTTACGTATGTTGCCTTTGGCCCCCCCCAAGTCCGAGTTTCAAGTGTGTCCATCCCTTGGATGGTGCGCATTGCACTCTCCGTGTGTGCAAATACCCGTCCCCTCCTCTCCGCCCCCCCGCCCAACATCCAATAGATGTTATTCTTATATGTGCACTTATGTGTTGATCAATTAATACCAATTTGATGGTGAGTACATGTAGTGCTTGTTTTTCCATTCTTGGGATACTTCACTTAGTAGAATGCGTTCCAGCTCTATCCAGGAGTATACAAGAGGTGCTATATCACCATTGTTTCTTAAAGCTGAATAGTACTCTGTGGTATACATATATCACATTTTATTAATCCACTCATGTATTGATGGACACTTGGGTTGTTTCCACATCTTTGCAATTGTGAATTATGCTGCCGTAAACATTCGGGTGCAGGTGTCTTTCTTATAGAGTATCATTTGTTCTTTTGGGTAGATGCCCAGTAATGGGATTGCTGGATCGAATGGTACTTCTACTTGTATCTCTTTAAGGTATCTCCATATTGCTTTCCACAGAGGTTGCACTAACCTTTTTTTTTTAACTTTATTTTTCAGAGTGGTTTTAGGGTCACAGCAAAATTGAGAGGAAGGTACAGACATTTCCCATACACTACCTGCCCCACACGTGCACAGCCTCCCTGTTACGAACATCCCCCGTCGGAGTGGTACGTTCGTTACAGTCGATGAACAGACAGATCGGCATCACACAGAGTCCATAGTTTACATTAAGTTTGTACTAGGGTTCACTCTTGGTGTTGTACATTTTATGGGTTTGGGCAAATATGTACTCACATGTATCCACCATTATAGTATCACACAGAGCAGTTTCACTGCCGTAAAAATCTCTGTGCTCCACCTAGTCATCCCTCCCTCCCATCAATCCTTGATAACTACTGATTTTTTTACTGTCTCTGTAGTTTTGCCCTCTCCAGACTGTCATATATTTAGAATCACACAGTGTATAATCTGCACAGGTTTTAAACCTCTACACTGAACCTAGAACATGGCTTAAATTGTATGATTATTTGTACATTTGCTCACACAAACATAAATTCCAAAGACATTTATTGAACCAAATGTTGGAGCCACAAAAGTGATCCATGCCCTTGAAAAATCTCTTATGAGGAGGGCCGTTTTAACCATTTTTAAACGTACGGTTCAGTGACATTAAGTGCATTCACAATGTTATACAAACATCACCACTATCCTTTTCCAGAACTATCTCATCTTCCCAAATCAAAACTGTACCCACTAAACACTAACTCCACATTCCCCTCTCCCCCAGCCCCTGGCACCCACCATTCTACTTTTTGTCTCTATGAATGTGACTACTCTAGGGACCTCATGTAAGTGGAATCACACAGTATTTGTCCTTTTTTGTCTGTCTTATTTCAATTAGCATAATGTCCTCAAGGTTCATCCATGTTGTAGAATGTGTCAGTTTTATTAAGGCTGAATAATATTCCATTGTATGGATGGACCACATTGTATTCATCCATTCATCTGTTGATGGACATTTGGGTTGTTTAGACTTTTGGCTATTCTGAATAGTGCTGCTATCAAGATTGGTGTACAAATATCTGTTCAAAACTCTGCTATAAGTTCTTTTTAGTGTATAACCAGAAGTGGAATTGCTAGATCATATGGTAATTCTATGTTAACTTTTTTGAGGAAACACCATACTAGTTTCCGCAGCAGCTGTAACATTTTACATTCCCACCAGTAATGCACAATTGCCAACCCTTGACAACTCTTGTTATTTTCTGGTTTTTTGATAATAGCCATATCTCATTGTGGTAGATGTGATATTCTTTTATATTTGACTTTTTTTTTTATTCTGACCCCTGAGCAGTATATACTTGTTTGACATTTTAAAGACTCCTCCTTCGATGACTACAGATTTGGGGTACTGTATTAGTTCAAAGAAACATCTCATTATGCATCTTCCTGGTATCACTCCTTAACCCGAGTAGGAGCCAGGATTTTATTTATCTTTATCACCACTTTCCTTTTTCGTAAAAGCCAGCCTGTGCTAATTCTTTAACTTCCTTTTTTT